AATTATATAAAATAACATGGTCCTGCACTTGTAGTTTATCATTCCGCGTTCAGTTATTACCCGAAACGTCGATATTTTTGGAAAAAAAAGTCAAAAATATAAGATAACATTTTGCAATTTAATTTTGCTCTGAAATGTTGCAGAGGTTTTAAAGCCAAATTGGTGTGAAGTCATAAACGCCAAATACGTTTGAGGATAGTATACTCCTAGCGAAACAATTGATAATTCTGTGTCCTCTACAGAAAAAAAATGTCGGAATGCCAACAATATATACATACATATATCGATAAAATTTTTGAGAAAATTTAGTTAATTTGAATAGTACTTTGATTAGACATATAGTTATAATGATCTTGTTTTTGTTCTAATGTTTATATTATTTTATTACATACAGTGTAAAGAATGTACTTAATTTAAGCTTTAATTTTGTCCTATTAGTAGGGTTTCTCCTGTTAGGCAATAAAGGATTTATTTTGAAGAACAAGCATAAAACTTGCATTTGGACGAAGAAAGTGCAAACTACCCAAAGTCAAATATTCCTCTAAACAACCTTCCCTACGTACTGGGATAAAAACGTCAGCCTTAGGAAAGAACCACTGCGTGAAACACCTTACTATAGCAAAAGCTTTAGTTGTGTAAGGATGTGTACGGTTGATCCCGAAGAAAAAACCTTTACAGTATCTCCTTTAAATCTTAATAGCGACGAGACTAAACATATAGTCACCTTATTCCCAAGCAATAAATACACTTATAAGTCTAAGACACATTGTCAACACAATTCGGCTGACCGAGATATCGAGGCGATTGCTTTTTAGTCCCCTCTAGTTTTCATTCAGGGAAATTTGAATGCAACTGGAGCAGATTGCAGTTCCTTACATGAGAGGGTTACATCGACACCTATTTCTGCAAGACAATGCACACCCACATACGGCAAGAATCACAACGGAATACTTTCAACAACATAATGTTGAAGTTCTCCCCCGGCCTACTCGTTCACCACATTTGTCACCAATCGAACATGTGTGGGATATCATGGACACACGGGTAAATTTGTGATTTTTCGATAAGTCAAAAACGTTTTGAAGCAATTCGTAAATCTTTAGATTCCAACAAATTGACTCTCAAAAATAATTAAAGTTATGACAGATTGTTGAAATTGCGTCCAGTGATTACAGTTGATCAACATAGAAAAGCTGAAAGAAGAAAAAAAGCTAAAACGTAATGAGAAAAAGAAAAACGAAATGGAAAGTCATTAAAAAAAATGTTGGCAAGCGATCAAAAATGATCAATAAATCAATTAATGGAACAAGCCACTCTGCAATTTGTATTTATTGTATTATAAATGTCCTTCACATTTCTGTGATTTACAAGACAGTGCAATCAGTAATGAAGTTATAGAATATTCTGCTTTTGATAATTTTATTCTGGATCATAATTATTGTGGAAATCCTCAGAATAATCAATTTGTAAATATTTTTTACGAACATGATTATTGTGGTGCCACAACTGATTGTGATTTAGATAAGGATTCTCAAGACCATTATAATATGATTTGTCTTCATAATGAAATCCCCGTCAATCTTAACAAATTCGATTTTTTGACCGAAAATTCAAACAAGTCTGGCATATCGTCCAAAATTGGTGTCTCAGTCAAAGAATTAACTCCTAGAAAAGCAAAAATGTATGAAATTAATCGTAACTTAAAATCTAAAATGTGTAAATTGACTAAAGTTTTGGAAAAGGTAAGAGATAAAGTTAAAACTTTGCAAACGTTATATGATTCTGGTAAAGTTAATTTCATTGATGAACATTTAAATTCAGTCAATAAAGATTTTATTAATTCTCAGATTTGTAACTCTTCACAAAAATCTCATGCACGCAGGTGGACAGATCAAGACAAAGCTTTGGCATTGGCTTTGTAAAAAAAAAGTCCACGTGTATATAAATTTTTGCAAATCTACTTTCAGTTGCTAAATGGTTTATTGTCTAATATTCAGTTTGAGACAGGGGTTAATTCTGGAATTTTGAGTCATTTAAAAAATCAAGTCGCGAAAAACATAATTTCTGATGACATGTTAACAAAGATGAAGAAGTTAAAAGTAGTAGCGTCTATTAATTTTGTCCATCTACACTGCAGAATTTGTTCAAAAAATTGATGATTTGTTTGACCCCCGAAACAGTTCTAATATTCAAGTTTCGGATCACAAACGCTTTAAGAAAATTCACCCCATTTGGAAATTTGGCCAAAATTGTGAACAGAAATGAAGGAGAGGAGATTAATTGATTTGAAAAACGGAGCTGATCACACGAATCGTTCGATAAAAATGATCAAATATGCAGTATTGTACTAGACAGTTTAGAAAAAACAATGTTTTGTACCTGCGGCAATAACATAATTGAAAATATTGTGAAATTATATATAAGAAGTAGGGTGTATTTTTATGTAAAAAAACATAACCAAAATAACAGAACAATAGTGTACAGTTCAAAGTCTATGAATAAAAATACTAGGAGATACATATACTTTTTTTTTGTTCCATTTTCTTGGAGAGATTCATATACTACGAAAAAAATTTTCCCGTTGTATGTGTCAAATTTTAATTTTACACAATTTTTAATTTAAAAGAGGCGCCATTTTTCGTCTGGATTTTAAGTTGGCAGCACTAGTGGGACCAGTTAGTGACTCGATGTCGGTACTATATGTAATCTAGTGGCTATAGAAAGTTGGAGGGAACATGTCGTCTCCTCTCTAGGGACAAAAGTACTCTTTCCTCATGGTTCTGTCCGGGCGCGTGTTCCACGGAAGAAGTAGGAGCCCGGGACTGGGAAGAAAAATTTGCCTGGGCGATTTTAAATTATTGAAAAAGTATTGAACAAATTTGCAAAGTCAGTTTTGACTTGAATGTTGACGATGATATTTGATTCTATCTATATACTTGCCGTGCTGGTTGATTACTCACGTCTGACGTTCCCGCAAAATCAGCTCACCAGTATTTCTCACTGTTTCAATTTGTTTATTTAACCCTCAACTACTATCGTGGGGTCAAAAAAGCCCCCAACGCAAATAAATTTCTCTGTAACAATCGAATCGCATGGATCTCACTCATGCGCTTTCAGCTATTCTTATACAAGTGCATACCAGTCAGTATCACGTAGGTTTCTTGACAGTGCGTTTGGTCGTTTTTAGGGTATGTCATCACTGGGATCAGAATTGACCCCATGATAGTAGTTAAGATATTAATTTTTTTTAATGAATTTTAGACATTGTTAGAAATATGGCGACTGAAGAGACGATCAGGATTGATGGTCGTCCCTATACTTCTCAGCAAGTAATGGAATACCTAATGAACATCGATGATGAAAATTTTACAGAGGAAAATGCTTCAGTCGAACGTGAAAACGACTGACATCAGTGATATAGAAAGTGAACAGAGTATTCATAACACGAATTCTGAAATTTCGGGAACATACACAGAAGTAGAAAAAACACCAAGAGACTCAGAAATAGAAGACAGGCCTAGTACCACAAATTATTTTTACGGTAAAAATCGTTTCAAATGGTCTAAAACCCCACCGAGTGCTTCAAGAACTCGTAGACAAAATATAGTGATTCATCGCCCAGGTTTGAAGGGTCCAGCTTTGCAAAATAAACCTCGTACTCCATTAGAAGCATGGTCTCTTCTTATAACAGAAGCTATGTTGCAAGTAATAACTGATGAAACAAATGCGCATATTTCAGAATTGAGTGCAAATTATGGAGACACTGCCTCATACGTAAATCATGTCTCTCTCTGAGTTGAAGGCGTTTCTTGGACTCATCTACTTTGCTGGGTTATTCAAGTCTAATCACGAAGATGTCGATACTTTATTTGCAACGGATGGAACTGGAAGACCAATATTTGGAGCGACGATGACGAAAGAACGTTTTTTGTTTCTTCTGTCAGCAATTAGATTTGACAATCGAGAGACGAGAGCCGAAAGAAAAGACGCAGGCGATAAATTAGCACATATTTCAAATATATTTCAACAGTTTATTGATAATTCAAAAAGTAACTATACATGCTCAGAATTTGCTACTATAGATGAAATGCTGGTTGGATTCAAAGGTCGCTGTTCCTTTAGAGTTTACTTACAAAACAAACCCGAGAAATATGGTTTGAAAATAATGTGTTTACGTTGTGCTAAAACACATTACTTGATCAACGCTTTTATCTATTCAGGAAAGACAACTGCTCCTAATCCTCGAAAACTGAGTATTCCAACACAATCAGTACTATCTTTAGTGGAACCAATTGTACAAACTAATAGAAATGTCACGGCAGACAACTGGTTTACATCAGTTGAATTAGTAGATGAACTGCTGCGTAATGGTCTTACATATGTTGGTACAGTCGGGAAAAATAAGAGAGAAATTCCTGTTGAATACTTACCAAATAGAAAAACTGAAGTTGGGCACACAAATTTTGGATTCACTAAAGATTTGACGTTGGTCAGTTACGTTCCCAAAAAAAAGTAAATCAGTTGTACTACTGTCTTCCATGCACCATGATAATATTGTTGATGAGAGAAGCGGAAAATCTGATATAATTCTATTTTATAATGCAACGAAAGGGGGTGTGGACGCTCTCGATCAAAAATCTGCATTGTATCGAACTGGAAGACGATGTAGACGGTGGCCATTGGCAATATGGTATGCTATAATGGATATCTCTACTGTGAATAGCCATGTGTTATTTACTACAGCCATTCTAGAGAAAAAAATATCCAGAAGAGATTTTATTAAATGTTTGGGTAGTCACTAATTTATGAACATCTTAAGGAAAGAAGCACTTTGCCAAATATTTCAAGAAATTTACGACAATCTATTTTTGAAGTGCTTGGAGAAAAAACACCTGATGTACACTTGGAAGCCCGCAGACCTCAAAAGCGACAACGTTGTTGTTTTTGTCCTCGTAGGAGTGACCAAAAATATACTATATATAAGGGAAATTTCATAAATGTAACGATATACTTCATTGTCCCTTTTCTTGCTCGTTGCACGTGTTAGGAATTTTTCAAATTCACCTGTTTGGTTCTCTTAGCAAAAACTGATGGAACCTAATTTTGAGTGAGTATAATTTTGTTACCTTTTGTTATTTATATGTTATAATTGTGATACGCAATGAAGAAAGAATGAAATGATTTACTTATGCCCATTATGTCCATATTTACAAAATCTTGACTAAACTACACAGGTTTTTTTCATTGCGTTACCACACTACCGTGTTATTCCTAAATCTCCTTATGTGATAGGCGAGGCTTTTCGCTTCAAGAAGCCCTAGAAATGGCATATAATGACGACATTGATAAAATTTTTATTGAACCCCCTGATAATGGAGGTATCACGGACGAAAACTCGGGTGACGAAGACTCTGGTGACGAAGACTCGGGTGACGAAGACTCGGGTTACGAAGACTCGGGTGACGAAGACGGTGGAGGCTTGATTGACAATTTGCCAGGTTCCCAATTGAGAGCACCGGCTGAAGTCAGGCTTGTAAATTCAAGCACCCCTGAAGATAATTTATTATATTCCACTGCTCATGCTAGCACCTCTTCTGGAAAGTCAAAATTAACTGAGAAGATAGAGTAGATAATAGGCGATTTTGACAAAAATTTTAATCATCGTGAATTTCCTGCTCCAAACTTTGACCACTATCACAATTTCTCACCAGTTGAGCTGTTCGAAATGTTTTTTGGTGATGATGCATATGAACTACTACAAACAGAAATTAACAACTATGCACTTTTCACCAATTGTACTAATCCACAATTGTCTCAAGACGAAATAAAGTGTGCTATTGCAATTCTTATATTGAGTGGATATAACGTATTACCTGGAAAACGAAATTATTGGGACAGCAAACCTGATATGCGAAACGAACTTGTGAATTCAATGCGTCGAGACCGTTTTCTGCAAGTTTGTAAATTTTTGCATTGCGCGGACAATTCCAAACCGAATCCAGCTGACAAAATATGGAAAATGAGACCACTAATGGATCTAATAAAGAAAAAGTATTTGCAATAATGTTATGATGAAAGCATGATAAAATACTTTGGGCGACACAGTTGCAAACAATTCATCAGGGGTAAACCCATACGATTTGGTTATAAAATGTGGTGTCTCAATACTCCATCGGGATATCTTGTCAACTTCGAACTATATCAGGGTAATTTTTACTTATCAATATTATTATAATTATTGTGATCTTTTTATTTCTGTAGGTAACAATCCGCGACGCTTAGCTGAATATGAAAAATCGTTTGGAAAGGCTTCAGCACCAATGGTACAAATGTTAGACGAAATTACAAAATTGAAAACACTTTTGCCTTTTCATTTACATTTTGATAATTATTCGCAAGTATAAAATTGTTGACACACCTAAAAGAAAATGGGTACCAAGGTACCGGAACTATCCGCGAAAACAGAATCCCCCGTGACTGTCCACTTCCCAGCAAAAAAATTATGGAAAAGAAGGCGAGGGGTACGTTTGCATCCATCATAGATAGAACTCACGGAATTTTATTTGTACGTTGGGTGGACAACGGGGTGGTAACTGTGCCATCTACATTGAATGGAGTGGAACCCACAAGTGGCGTAAGACGATATTCTCAGGCAGAAAAAAAAACTATTATCGTCCCTCGTCCAAACGCAATTGGAACATACAACGCTTTCATGGGAGGGGTTGATCTTATGGATGAAAATTTTGGACGCTATAGAGTGGGCATGAGAGGAAAAAAGTGGTGGTGGTGTATTTTCACGTGGTTACTTGACGTATGCATCCAAAATGCCTGGCAAATACATAAAAAATGCGGAGGCACCATGACACAGTTGGAATTCCGTCGGGAAATAGTTACCATCTACTTGCAACGGTATGGAAGTCCTCCAAAAAGTCCCGGAAAAGTACCATCGTCAACAGCTAACACAGATGGACGAGTTCCCGATGGTTTGCAATACGATAGGATCGATCATTTTGTAGCCCAAACACAAGACAATAAAAGAAGACGATGTGCTGGCCAAAACTGCAAAACTGTTGGGCGAACCAAGTGCACCAAGTGTAAAGTCGGCTTATGTGTAAATTGTTTCCAATCTTTTACTAGAAAATAAAATGCTTTTCAAATAAATACTATTTTTATTATTTTGAGAAAACACGGTAGTGCAGGTGCCTAGTGTTACCAAATGGTCACGGCCTTTTTTGGCTAAAGTATATATCACAAATAAATAAAAATATTATTTTTGAGTTACTCCTTAGTTATGCAGGCTAAATCAAAAGCATAAAATATAAAATTTTAAAAAGCTGAATTCTCGGCGTTTAAGGGTTAATAGATACGTCTGTTCATAAGTTTCCAACTGGAAATAAAACACAAAAGTTATTTTTCTGTTCGTTCGAAACCATGCTTGTTATTTTCTAGGTTTTTATAGTTATCGAATTTTTTCTTTTGTTGTTGTCTTGGTTTGACTATTTTTTATTAAAAGCTAGCATAAGAATTTGTTATTATGTTATTAAGTTTGGGTTTTCTCAGCTTATTACAAAGTAACTTTTTCGGTTTTCAAACATACTCTTGTTATATTCAATTTCCAATAAAAACTTTATTTTGTTTATAAAACGAAACTGACTAATTTTTCTAAGTTGTAGAATTATTAGAGAAACCAAATATATGAAACTGGTAGTTCCATGGCGGTAATAAAAATATTAATGGCTATAATATATCGGGGTCATAAATGACCCCACGATAGTTACGTAACTTCAAAACACGATAGTAGTTGAGGGTTAATATTTGAAAATTTTGTTTTTATTGTATGTACAATTTTGTAAGTTATTCTTAATAACAATATCTATAAACAACATGTTGAGAAAAATCCTTACCCTACCCCCCCAGGACAATTAAAATATCTACGCTCTTGTCACTTATTACTAGTTTTTGGAAAAATTTCATGACGTGAATTTTTGAAAATATTTTTTCGAAGTTCTGGATGATAAATTTTATAAGACAGAGCATTTTTTCGGGTCAAAACAAAAATTGCGCAGTATAGGGTTGAAAGTTGGGAGGGAACATGGCGGCGACCTTGAACATGTCTACTGTCTCCAGGCAAAAAGGTACTCTAGTTCCTCGTGGTTCTGTCCCTTTCATTACCACGGCCCTCCATATAGAACCACTACCGGCGCAAAGACCGTGCTAATACGCCCGAAATTTCTTATTCTATACACTTACCTCGTCCTCATCTTTGGGGGGTTGCACTGCATTTGTTGCACACGAACACCCCATGATTATGAAAAAATCAAGCACCCCACCCATTTTTGTCCCTCAGGATATCAACGAACACCTACCACACGTTTTAAACGGATTAGACGCACCATTCGCGACGTCTGAAGTTAAAACGGAAACAAAAGTTTTTGCACAGGAACCCATTGCATTAATTGCGCAATAACGAAAATCGCGGTAAAAACAGTTAACCAAGAACAACGTAAATCTTCATTCAAGAACCAGATAAATGTACAATAAAAACACACCACACAAAGTTAACATGAAATCTAAATACCACCGAAGCGTGAACGCCGAAAAATCTGATGGAAAATTTTCAACTCACACCACACCGGCAACTTTACACACCACGTTTTCACGATGCAAAGACGCCATTTGTGAATGCGAATTCAAAACAAGAGAAAGCATGGGCAGTTGTGCTAGCGCATGCGTTTTCAACCAGAATTGTAAAGTCAGTTTTACATCACACAATTATCTCGGAAGACATCGACTGCATTTATATGAACTTAACACCTTTTTTTTACAAAATTAACGACGTCGTTCATCTTAAATTAAAAACAGTTTCTGTATACGTTCAATAAAAAATTAAAACGTCCTCAAAAAGTAAAGAATTGTAGGCAACCAGTGATACAGTCACTTTTTTTTATGTATGTGTGTATGCACATTACTCGCCATCCTGGCCAGTGGCGTGCCGATGTAACTGAAAACCGAAGATTGATGTTAAAAAATAAAAAACAAGTATTTGTTTAAATTGATAGAAAGTACAGTATTAAAAATAATTAAGTGTTACTGGCTTTGTTTTTACGGATCGTAAAAATTCTAGCAAAAATTCAATTTTTATTCTACTTTTTTTACACATATTTAAAACCATATTATCCGTTCACGATCTTTATATACTAGGGTTGGCCATGAAAATCTAGTGAGTTTGTTGGTTTTCGATGCAGAAGAATAAAAATTCCCTGAACTTTTTTCGTTAGGTTATGTTTTATTGAATTAAAGGTTGAAAAATATGCCAGAATAATTAACATTGTTGCCGATACTTTCAATTTTCAGTAGCAATGACCAAGTTAACGGTATCCATTTCTTAGAAAGCATAAAACTTTACGCTATTTAAAACAGTTATTCGGCTTTTTGTAAGTGTTTATTTTATATGTAAGGACCAAACACTAAAATTTCACTAAAACAATGTTTTTATATGAATGAGGGTTCTACATACGACTATTGTCGCATGCCACATTTAGCATCTCATCTTTAATTCTCAATCATCAGTTCGTTCTGCTCGCCCACTCTTCTTAGAAATGGAAATTTCGACCTTTGCGAACAGCCTATTTCCATATCTTCCAACTTCTTTTTTCACTTTTCCAAGATTACTAATAGAGTTGGTAAAAGACAACAACCTTGCTCTAGTGCTTTGATGGGTTTAGCTCTTCTGGAACATTTTTCCGGCCTTACTTTGAATGATTTATCTATATAGCTATCACTAATGCTTACGTAAGTGCTCTTTATTTGCTTTTACAAAGTACTTCCAAACGGTTATTAATAAGAACGTTACTATACGCCTTCTCCAGAGCCATGAAGAGTTACAAAAAAAATGAATAGGCTTAAAATTTGGTGCAAAGTAACAACATGGATGATCTAACTAAAATTATACTTATTTTGTTGCACGTCAGATAGTTTTTCACATACTACCTTGGTAAATTTAGAACGAAAGATGCGTAAAAATATCACACCCCGACAAGCTACAATTCACTAAATTTCCATTATTTCGCTATGAAAATCTGTATCATTACCGTCATTTTCAAATTCAGATTCTGAATCAGATTCACCTAGCGAAATAATGAAAGGAGGTATAGATTCGTACGAAAGATTTCCCATATTTTTTTCCCAATCTGCCAAAAAAAAGTTTTTCACGATGTTTACAAAAATTTTGCCACATGCTTGGAGTACATTTAGAAACCGCCTCAAGCCATAAATTCTCCACCCTGTTTTTTAATGACGGTTGCGGATTTATATGCTTGTTCTTACAAAATCCCCACGCCATTTCAATTGGGTTATATTGACAATGGTGCGGAGGTAATCTAAGAACTTCATGGCCACTTTCTCTTAATGTCTCGTCTACCAAATATCTATTTTTTTATTGTTTCTGAAGGGTTTAATTAAATCCTACAACTGTTTCTTCGAAAATTTTTTGTCAAATTCAACACTATGTTTAAAGAGCCATTCCTACATTTTACATTTTTTACTAGAAAAAGTGAGTGGTTTATCCAACTGAACCGAATGATACGGTGCATTGTCTAAAACCACCACACATTTTTGGTTCAACTTTGCCAAAGCAGGAATGAGCTGATTAACCACCCAATTTTGAAAAATTGTCCCGTCCATCGTTTTATGATAGTCTTTATCGTTATTTTTTGAATTTAAAAAATTGTTACAATCATCCAAGAACCCCGTGGAACAACCCGCATGGAGAATAGTAAACCTTGATCGTTCACTTTAATTTAATTTTGGTTGGATTGCTTTTTAGATCAGTATCGTCCACCCAGCGACGAATGGACGAACCATTTTGATAGATCCATGTGTCATCCAAATACACGAAAGTCAAATTTTCACAAAAATTTAGAAACTGTAAATACGTTCTCAAAAAAGTAATTTTGGCTGCAACGACATATTTTCGTTCACATAGAATTTTGCGACCATTTACTTCCCTGTGTTTATAACCCATTGATTTAAGAATTTTGTATCATGTGGTTCGCACCCATTTAAATTCCAACTGTTCCCTAGAATATGCCAAAAGAGTATCTACAGTGAAATATTGGTTTTTTTCATTAAGTTGCCAAATGTGTTGTTAGAGGTCTTTCCGAAACATATCATTCGTAAATAAATCCGTTGGTTTTCGCTTGCCAGATAGTGATGTTTTTAAATTTTGGTCCCCTGTTGATAAAATTTTCGCCACAGTTGATGTTCCTACCTACGAGAAAAAAAAATTAAAAATATTTTACAGCCTATTTTTACATTACAGAAAATATGTTCGAGACCCTCATAGTTACTTCTTCGAAAGAAAGATCAGGCCTGTCTTTAGGCATTTTCTTTTTAAATAATGTCGCAATAATCTGTGAATCTGTCACGATGACAAATTATCTATGCTGACAAAATTAAAATATTTGTTTGGTTCATTAAAAAATTGCGTCTAATAATTCTGATCTAATAAATGAAGTAGAAAAGTGGCAATCCAGCTCAAAGCAAATGTCAATCAGACTACTGACAGACAAAAAACTAAATCATCAAATCAGTTTATCCAATTTAATGAAAAAATATCAAAGGCTACTTTACTATGCTACATTACTATATAAAGATCGTGAATGGATAATACAAAAGATTGTATTGCAATTTTGTGCAGAGTGCTTTCTGGCTGGTTTTATTGTTGCAGTGGTTTTTTCATCGTGTTTTCACCCTGCTACGATCCGGGGATCCGCTGCAGAAGATCTCCCTCTAGACGTCCGTCGCATCGTAATCGTCGTTTTCTTTTAGTTTTGTTTTTCAGTGTCAGTAAATCGTTGTCGCAGGGCTTTTCAGGAAAATTCGTTAGTTAGGTTGCAATTCAATTTCATAAATTTTATGTCGAAGGTTTTTGGATGGTTTTCCCCAGTTGTCAGGTTTTCCAAATTTTCATCTTACGAAAATTTCAAATTAAAATTTAACCGTTGAGATTGAGAAAGAAAGAGAGCGAGGGGGGGGGAGGAGGAGTGTGCAGGTGGCGCGCTAAACATTATCATTGTTTTGGCTAGACGATTTTAATGAGCGCTAGTCTGAGAAATCCGCGCTCCCAGTTCATTTTTGCATTAGTCAGCAGAGAAATGTCGATTGACCTAAATAATTATTACTCCCATAGTTAACGGAAATCTGGACCATTGTTTTATGTTATGACTTACGTTTTACCAATTAAATTTTTATATTTATGACTTTGATATGTTGTTGTTATTGTTTTTTTGACAAGTTTTTATGCATTTTTGTCGATATAATTTTATGTGCAGTTTTCCGTTTCATTCACATTTTAACAAATAAATTCTCGAATGGGTAAAAAGTTCTTGACAAATGTGGCGTACTTGAACTTTATTGCAACATCCACATTCTTAGTTTTTTTTTATAATAGCTCTTACTAGAGTCCCTACATATGTATACAGAGTTTCCATAAATGATTGTAGGGTAGCAGTAGGTCATGTAAACGTACCGCCTCTCAGGTTTAACTCTAAATACCAAGTGCACTATTTTCAATAAATAAATGTAAGAAATGGAATAAAGATTGTTTAAAAGCGAAATTTCGACCAATAAAAATGATATGCTGTGCTAGAGGACGTGGGTGGGGCGAGAACCCCAATCGTCTTATCAACCCATCAAGCTGTAAAACCATCAGATTTGTATTCTACCCGAGAAAATTTTTGTCTGGTTCTTACGTGAAATGGTTGGGCGTGATAAACAGAAGAGAAATTACAAATAGCCGAGTATTCGGCAAAAAATGAGACGGTATGTAAATATATATAATATAATATATGTATATAATACAGCATAACCCAAATAAATGGAAGTGAAAATTACAAAGAAATAAACTCACAGGTTACGAAATAGAAAAATGGAAGGTACTAACACTTTGGACAAAGGTGGTACGAATTCCAATAGCATATCAAGTCTCGAATTACAGAGGTAAGCTTGATAAATTGCATTTACCTAACCCTATGGAAGTGAAATTTTAATTATACTCGTAGTGGCAGGAAGTTATTTAATATGTCACACTACTCAAAAATGAGAATAGGTTAGTTGAAATATTTAGTTTGAAGTACCAAGTTTGCATACATTAACAAATACATACATATAAATAAAAGGAAACAAACCACGCTACTTGAGAATCTTCCGAGTATCAGCCCACAAAACACTGTTTCCTTTGTGGAAGAACCACTAGTTCTAGTGAGGAAAGAACCAAGTTTTAACGGTCACAGTGTGGAAGCACTAGGTGCAATAAGCCCAGTAAACGAAGGACAGTCGTTTCCAAATCTAGATCTAGATTCTGTTGACTTAATGTTCTTTCACTCGCGAGAAGATTTAAAACCTTTTCGGGTATAAGACAGGTCTATTTGAAGAATAGGTTTTTTGAAATAATGGCAGAAGCACAAATAGTTGAATAGTTGCTATTAAACACGAGAAGACTGATAATTGTTAAGAGAAAGCTGTAATTATAATCTTGTATGAAACACATGTCTTTTTTTCCCTCGTTCCTGATCCTTTTAACACGGTGGACTTTAGTAGGGAGTAGTACCTTACATGGCAGAGGTTGCGGTCGGGTGGATTAGGTACCTACCTGGGAACAGTACCGACATCGGCTACTATCTGATGATATTATCTATCACTTTCATACTTACTATTTAATTATCGCTAATGCTTCAAAATAAAAATTCCCGAAAATGGAAACTAACTTTATCTTCATCTTGGGTAGGTATTTTTTTTTTGCGATTGTTGCCGTTTTAAACAATAAATGTTCTTTTATATCCACATTTCTTACAATTGTCTTAACATATTTGAATTGTTTCTGAAATTTAAGTAAATATTTTTTTAGTGAGATACTTCATCGTCTTGGGTGAAAGATGGCCAATTTTTTAAACATAAAAAAACAAAAAAATAAGTCAAACAAACTCATTTATTCCTATCAAAAATATTAATTTTCATACAAAACAAATATTTTTCGCTCGAAGAAATGACATTCAAATAAATTAAAATTCTTATTTCAAGAAAGTGTTTTTCTCTTTGATAAATCCTATAATAATTAAAGTAATAATATCTCTTAAATGTTAAGGTAACATCTTTTTTTAATAAATAGAGCAAAATCCTAATAATAACAGTACTGCAGTCTCAAATCTACGGAATTATAGAATGAACCGTCCCTGATTTGATCAACAAAATATTAATAATATAAAAAAAATGAGGCGACGGATGGTAACAATATTAAAGTCTGGTCCGGCGCGGAGGAGTTTTGGATCGTCGTTGAACTAATCATTCAAAATTCGAGTTTAACCATCATTATTCATTTCATTAAACCAAAGATTGTGCTCCACATTTTACTAGGTATTCGACAATTTTTTCGTGACCTCCAGAGGAAGCTGCATAAAGCGGTGTCGAACCATTTTTATTAGCGAGATTGATTTCGGCTCCGCATTTCACCAGGCATTCGACAATTTTTTCGTGACCTCGAGAGGAAGCTGCGTGAAGCGGTGTCTGAGCATCTTTATTAGCGCGATTGATTTCGGCTCCGCATTTCACCAGAAATTCGACAATTTTTTCGTGATCTTGAGAGGAAGCTACGTAAAGCGGTGTCCAACCAATTTTATCAGCGCGATTGATTTCGGCTCCGCATTTCACCAGGCATTCGACAATTTTTTCGTGACCTTGAGAGGAAGCTGCGTAAAGCGGTGTCTGACCATCTTTATTAGGGCTATTGATTTCGGCTCCGCATTTCACCAGGCATTCGACAATTTTTTCGTGACCTCGAGAGGAAGCTGCGTGAAGCGGTGTCTGAGCATCTTTATTAGCGCGATTGATTTCGGCTCCGCATTTCACCAGGCATTCGACAATTTTTTCGTGACCTTGAAAGGAAGCTGCGGAAAGCGGTGTCTGACCATAATAATTATCAGCGCGATTGATTTCGGCTCCGCATTTCACCAGGCATTCGACAATTTTTTCGTGACCTCGAGAGGAAGCTGCGTAAAGCGGTGTCTGACCATTATAATTATCAGCGCGATTGATTTCGGCTCCGCATTTCACCAGGCATTCGACAATTTTTTCGTGACCTCCAGGGGAAGCTGCGTAAAGCGGTGTCCGACCATCTTCATCGGCGCGATTGATTTCGGCTTCGCATTTCACCAGGAATTCGACAATTTTTTCGTGACCTCCAGAGGAAGCTGCGTGAAGCGGTGTCCTACCATCTTCATGAGCGCGATTGATTTCGGTTCCGCATTTCACCAGAAATTCGACAATTTTTTCGTGACCTCGAGAGGAAGCTGCGTAAAGCGGTGTCCAACCATATTTATCAGCGCGATTGATTTCGGCTCCGTATTTCACCAGGCATTCGACAATTTTTTCGTGACCTCGAGAGGAAGCTGCGTAAAGCGGTGTTTGACCATAATTATCAGCGCGATTGATTTCGGCTCCACATTTCACCAGGCATTCGACAATTTTTTCGTGACCTCCAGAGGAAGCTGCGTAAAGCGGTGTCCGACCATCTTCATCGGCGCGATTGATTTCGGCTCCGTATTTCACCAGGCATTCGACAATTTTTTCGTGACCTCCTGAGGAAGCGACGTGAAGCGGTGTCCTACCATCTTCATGAGCGCAATTGATTTCGGCTCTGCATTTCACCAGGCATTCGACAATTTTTTCGTGACCTCGAAAGGAAGCTGTGTAAAGCGGTGTCCAACCAATTTTATCAGCGCAATTGATTTCGGCTTCGCATTTCGCCAGGAATTCGACAATTTTTTCGTGACCTCGAAAGGAAGCTACGTAAAGCGGTGTCCGACCATATTTATCAGCGCAATTGATTTCGGCTTCGCATTTCGCCAGGAATTCGACAATTTTTTCGTGCCCTCCATAGGAAGCTGCGTACAGCGGTGTCTCACCATCTTCATTAGCGCGATTGATTTCAGCTCCGCATTTCACCAGGCATTCGACAATTTTTTCGTGACCTCGAGAGGAAGCTGCGTAAAGCGCTGTCCGACCATATTTATCAGCGCGATTGATTTTGGCTTTACGTTTGACTAAATACTCTACAACTGTTACGTGCCCCGCTCGAGAAGCTATTATAAGAGGCGTACTACCATCAAATTCAACAACAAAATTTACTTCTTTATTAAAAATACTCCAAGATGAAAATAATTGTTGCTTAACAACCATTTTAACCACCTCTGCGTATCCGTGCAAAGCGGCAAAAAATAAAATATTAATTTTGTCAGTTGTTCGACGATAGAAATCTTTCAGTTGAAATTTGCGTGATTGCAATAATTCCAGTTCCGCTCCCAAATTTTCACTTTCTCGTGCCCATGCTAAGGGTGTGATTTTATGTAAAAAATCTTGTTCTAATATTTCACATTTATCTAACAAAAACAATAACGCTTTAGAATATTCTTTCGTTTCTAATGAAGCACTCATTATCTGTTGATATGCTTCGATAATATAATGCATAAATTTGGTTTGTACTTTTAAACGCCCATGTCTTCGTCCCCAAGAACAAATGAGATGTAAGGCACTTCTTCCACATTCATCTTTACGTTTTATTATTTCGTCCTCAAAGTTGGCCACTTCATCAAAATTTCTATACAGGGTGTCTCAGAAATAAGTACATTAATTTTAACCAGTAGCAGAACCCGTGAAACGGAACAACTTTTTTATCTAGCATTTTTTCGAAAACTCAAGTCGAATTTCGAATTTTCCCACCCATATATTCACGAGCCGTCTATGTTCACCTTAAATAATAACTTAAATAATAGCAACACTACAACAATGAAGAAGGTACCGTAGCAACCGTTTTGACACTGACAATCATTTTTATGTCAATGTTTTTATTAAACGTTGTCTCTTTAAAGTTTGTTAGGCACAGATTTCTAATTTATAGACGAAATGTGTTGAAATGGCTTTGTTTTCAAATCTGGAATGCACCGATATGGTTTTAACGTACGGTGAAGCTCGGGGAAACGGCACTCGCGCCCAAGGAATTTTTTCAGAAAACCTCCCAAATCGTCTGCCAAATGTGCGCAGTTTTAAGAACGTTGTAGCATTTTCGAGAGTACGGATCTTTTAAACCTGCACCTCAGGATCGGGGTAAGTTACGTAGTAATAGAATTGCTAATATTGAAGAGGCTGTTTTGAAGAGTGTCGAAGCTCGACCGGGCACTAGCACGTATCACTGTTCAGTGTGATGTATCGGAGAGTAGTATTTGGAGGATACTCAGAGAACAAATGTACCCCTTTTATGACCAGAAAGTTCAGTTATTGAAACTAACAGACTTACCACGTAGGCAAAACTTTTGTGAGTGGTTTAATAGAAAAATAAACGAACAAGCAAATTTTGTATCTCTTATACCATCAACTGATGAGGTCGATTACACGAGGGAAGGTGTTCAACACTCACATTTGGGCCGTTGAAATTTCGTACGCCATTAGGGAGCAGGATTTTCAATTTCTCTCTAAATGTTTGTCACATTGACAAGATTGGGAAAATACGTATCCTAGTAACTGTTTTTGACCGTAAATTATTAATTATAATAATTATTAGTGTCCATGGGTGACTGAGGATCCATGGGCGGGTAACCTTAATTGGGGTATAACTTTAACAATTTTTAACTTGATAATTAAAAAGTTCTTGACAAAACTCTACTAAGAAAAGTTGTTGAGTTCAATGAGCTCTATAACTGATTAAAATTAATGTACTTATTTCTGAGACACCCTGTATAAAATAGCGATGTGGACCGGGGAATTTTTACCAGTTAACATGTCGAAGAAGAAACGTACATTGCTATATTTTTCATCAAAAAAAATGTCTCTGCGTGTCATTCTAAAATTTTTAGAAAAATACAAGGCAACAAAATATTCGGCAAAGGAAGCATGTGCAAATTGCGGAATGCCGTTTTGTAGACCAGTCACGATACCGACAGTTGCGAAATCTTCAGAAACAGAATCTCTATCTTGCGAACAATCTATCTTTAATTGTTTCAAAACATCTTCAGGAAATATTGCTCCAAGCGCCAATTTTTCATACAGTTTTAATTTTTCTTCCTTTTCCTTTCTGACTTTTTCTTTCCAAAAATCATTATTTACAGGAACCTTGCTTTCGTAGAAAAACTTAAATTTTCCGTCAAGAAAGTAACGATACATGTCAGTCAGGAGAAATTTATTGTTTAATAACTCTAAATATTTTTTCTTATTTTTAAGTAATACATCTGTTAGCATAAAAATTTGAAGAGGGATTCCCAATATATCTAGATGTTTTATAAATGCAAACGTGGATTTAATTTTGTCGATGGTGTGTTTCATGTCCACAGACGCAATAAAACCATTAAGACGTTTCTTAATATAATCTTCTTGCTCGACTTCGCTGAACTGATTGATACTCACTGTCAGAGTATTAAATTGTTCTTCAAGAGAAGATTTCAAATGTTGCCTCGCAGTAACCCACTGAATGAAACCTTTCTGCGTTAACATAAGAATGAGACCTAAAGTACCATTTAAATACTGTGTAAATATTTCATCAAGAGCGTCCCATACAAAAACCACATTGCGTTGCTTTAAACACAGTGTCAAATATTCTCGATCCAGCCCAGCTAGGTGTCGGTATTTTTTGTTTAAAATGAATGTTTCGAATAGTTTTAAATCTCCTAATATTTCAGATTTCATTGAATTTTTAAAGAAAGACATAACATCTTGAGCACTGAGGATCACGGTCCAATATCTCGCACAACAGTTGTTTTTTAGACTCTTCGTTAACTCGGTTTTGCCCATTCCTGGGTCACCTGTTATTAAATGTATGTTGTTACTGAATTCGGAGGACCAAATTTCCTTTTCGTTTTTGAAACGACTAGGTAATTTATAATTTCGCAATTCATTAACAGAGCCTTTGCTTCGGATCCATTCTAAATTTTGATCGTTGAGAAATTTAAAATAGTGTACAGTGTGGGATGCTGCTCCTTTAGAACATATTTTCTGAAAATCAGAATCACTGCAATTTTTTTCACTCCTTATAAAAATTGTATTATTAAAAATTTTGGGGTCTGTATTTCTTAAAAAACACTCGATGTCTGTTAGAGTATGTTTTTTAGATATTTTCAATTCCTGACAATTACCTTCGCAATTTAAAATGATTACAGTATTTCGATCAACATGTTCTAAGTATTTAATGTCTATAATATTGGCTGACAAATGTCTATCGAAATAAAAATTGGGAAAAACTTCCTCTTGTCCATCTATATGGCATGGACCATTTGCCATCTCTAAAAGTTTTTCCACAGTAACATGCTTGAAAATCTCTTCATTTTTTTCGAAAGCAGTCACCAAATTACGTGGTTCTTTGCCTTGTATAGAAATGGTGAATTTTCGCAATATTTTTTCATACAATTCGATTTCTGTTTCCAAGTTGAACAAGTTTTGAAACACAGAGTGTTTTTTCATCCATTCTTCATATTTTCCCTCGCCAAGAATAATAAATTTTGCATCTGGACAGAGGTTAATAGCTTTCTCCATATTGACGTGTTCTTTCACAATGAGCGGACATTTCTCCATCAGCCATAGCAACTGTGTCAACAAATTTGCATCCAGATTTTCGACACTACTTATACAATCAAAAGAAAGGGAATAAAGTAATCGAACTTTGTTTAGTTCTTTGAGGTCAATGTTTTGGTCCAAGTCTCCCCACAAATTTTTAACTGCGTTGCTGCCTTTTTTTTCCACCAACGTAATATCGAACAAACAAATAGCGTCTCGAAGTATTTTCATTTCGTCCGTGACTGAACCAAAAACAAACGGTTCGATCTGAGAAGAAAGCAAACGAAGTGCGATTATACGTTGCATCATTCTTTTGCTTAGCTTTTCTTTTTTTCCTCCTCGCAAACTCCATTCTGATATGACGTCGACGTACTTCTTGAAAGTTTCTTCGTTAGAGCAAAACATCTCAGTAAATGTATTCATTGTTGATTTTGTAAGAGCTTCAAAACGTTTTTGGTTTGTGTAAAGACGAAAGCGTTCGAAGAATGGTTGATACTGCTGAATTTTTTCAAGATTTTGTTTAGTCCATTCGTCCTCAACGATCTCAAATGTATGATAATAATTTATGTTTTCCGAAATTCTTAACATGTCGCAATCGTCTTCTGATGCTGTCTTTTTAATCGGCTTCACGTAGAACTGTTCTCCTTCGAGTTTAAATTTTGTTTCCTTTGAAGTTGTAAAGTTGTTTGTGGTGAATAATATAAATTCTTCTACTTCGCCTTGTACCTCTTGAGCAGATTTGAAATATTTTGTTATGCTAAAGTTTCCCGTTTTACTTGCCAACTGCTTTATACTTAGTAGTCTTTTTTCGTTGCTATGTTTTAACTGCAGTGCTTTTGTTTTTATTCCTCTATCTGTCTTAATCTCAATAACCACGTCATCAAAATCACCAAAAATTTTATCGTTCGAAGAAATGTAGAAATCTCTTATTTTACTGTCGCTTACCAATTGTAGTGCGACTTTAGCGGTAACCAAATCTTCGTACTTTTTACCCTTATCGGTGGTCCCTGCTCGTTTTTCAAAAATCTGTAATAGAAATCAACAATGTGAATAAATCAAAAATAGTTCAATAATTCATCATAAATAAATTTACCTTATCCAACAAAGTTTTATTTATTTCGCCATCTGTTGCTTGTCCAGCCAGAACTATATTTTCGTCGGTATTTCCTTTAATTTGATGTCTGTCTTCAGATAGAGCAGCTTGCTTGTTTGGAGTGTCTTCTATTCCTACTAGATCTGTCCGCTAAAAATAATTTAATTAACAAAATTATTCGCAAAAAAATTGTTAAAATTATTCTAAATAACTGTAACAATTACGTGGCTAAAGTTTCAAAACTTTCATTTTTTTTCTTAGAGTTGAAATAATGGACCGTGAATAAGAAACATGAAATTTTCAAGACGATGACATCATCTGATAAAAAAATTGATCTGAACATAAAAAAAATGGAAAACTTTACATTTTTCTTAACCCTTTGTCTACGTTCTCTTGTAAAATTGTATAGTTTTAATTTATTTTTATACTATAATACAATACAATACAATTCTGTTGCCTACGTTGAATATTGAAGTTTAGGTACTTGTTTTTGTAAAAATGTAACAAGTAAATTGAAAGACAAATTAATAACCAAATGAATTTGAGGACAGTTTAGACCGATCCAAATTTATGATACCTTTAACGCAGAAGAAGTATTCTCCTCGGGTTGCGGTGTGTGTAGCAACTTTTCTTGTTTTCTTCGTCTTTTTTGTTCTATCTTACGTTCTAATTCCTCTCTTAATCTTCTGATTTCTTCGTCGGAACTTGAGTCCATGGCGACAAATTTAAACGTGTATGCTGAGAAAAATATCAATCAGTCAAGTAAACTAGCGACGGTCAGAAAACATAGAGACTAATATGCGTCATTTTTCGACAATAAAGCTAAAAATGAATTATCCTAGGTAAAAAACTAGATAAAAATGACTCATGTTGTCAAAAGTGGGAATCGTGATCATAGAATCTAATAGAATAAATAATTAGAAATAATTCTACCATTTCTAGACAAACCCGAGCAATCGATAGAGCGGTCGTTACGAAAAATAGTACAACTGGTGAAAAAGAGTTCTCTACAAACAATACCACTTATTATTATAGGTATATGTACAATAAAAAATATGCGTACATTCTAAATTCTGACTATAATTTTCTACTTACCCGTCGAGAAGTTGACTTATGTTTGAACTTTACAATGACACAAAAACTTTTATAAAATACGATACAATTAAAGTGTTACTTTTTTTACTATAAACTTATAAATCATCCGTATTAAAATAATCACTAATCTTTTTAACGGCGTTTCTAAAATATTATATTCCAAAGGTGGGGTTAGCATATCTGATAAGTTAGTGTTATCAAAAGCAAAACCTTCAAGTTCTGGAAAATCCAAAACCTGATAAATGTCTGATTTAATTTTTTCTCGACGTTTCATAAATTCTAGTCTTTGAATATTAGGTATCTATTTTTCATACGTTGATTTAGAGTTATTAACGCAAGTAATAGTGAAAAAAATAAAATACAGCAAACCAAAGATAAAGTGATCGCTGCAAAATATGCTATTTAAGTAGTTCTAACCGTATCAAAGTATCACTCACATACTTATCAACAAATGACTATTTATGATTTAAGATAACGATAAACATGAAGTGTTTATTGACGCCATGGTTGAACATTTTGCAATCAAATCACGACATTTTATCTTATTTAAGTTGTAATTCATATTTATTTACTTGTCTCGTAGTACCTAACATATAATCTTTTTTCTAGGAATTGGTTTCGCACTTATTTATATTAAGTACACTACAGAAATTTAAAGCAAAATTAGCAGTTAAATAACACGATAATCTCCAAAACTACTGGACCGATTGTTGTCAAGCTTTATATGCGTATCATAAATATTATGTGGATGAAAAAATGCTAACCAAACTGTATCTAGTCATCCCCACCAATAATGTGATGAGTCTAGAGAGCGGATTTTATGAAATTTGCATATCCGTTATTTTTTGCATATAAGTCTTGATATTTAATATGTGAACGAATCATGCTAATTAAAAATGAATACAGCTATAAAAAAATTGCATATTTGCATATATTTGCCGTCTGTTGCATATTTCACGGAACGGGTGCATATTTTGCATTTTTATCAATTTTTGTGCTAATTTGAAAAAAAAAATATTGTCATTCTATCGGCATTTACCTAGAAAGACGAAATTTTATGAATCATATTGCAAATATTGTCCTGAACTTCAAATAACTAGAAAAGGTTTGGGTTTTATGGTAGTTTGGAGACACCACTGGGTGTTAAGCCATCCTTCCAGGTAAATTCGCGCCCTAATTACTTTTGGAAATACCCTTCATTCCCAATATTTTTGTTCGTTAGTTAAGTGGTACGTTTATTAGTAGTGATCGAAGGGACGTTATACTGTTATTATTTTTCATCGTGAGTTTATATTGAAAGCATTTAAAGGGATACAAGTGTATCAATATGTCGAAGATAACTCAAATTAACTTATGGATTAAACCTTTTCCTGAACTTATTCTTCAAGAACAAACTGTACTTTGTCGTGCCTGCCCTAAACCGGTAAGTATTTTTACATCTGTGGACGTAGTACGCAGTTTTTCTATTTACAAATACATTTACTTTAGAATCACCGGAATAACTTTTTGTTAGATTATTTCGAAAAATATCAAAAAATAAATTGTTACCAAAATAGTAATTAAATAGTGGATTACTACTATTCTTTAATTTGACCTGTTTATATTTATTTTTTAGTATAAGAATATTATCTTCAAAAACGTGATTTATGTGTTAGTGAGATGTAATTAAACACTTTGCAATGTGATTTATGTATTTTTTGTAATAAAATGTAAGCTCGGGAAATCTGTTTTTGAATTTTATAAATAAATTTAGTTCGCTTATTAAGCTTTTTTTTTAATTTTTGGAGCATATGCAACTGCATATATCTGCATATATTAAGAAAGTTACTGCATATTTGCATAAATTTGGTGCATATCATATGATCATATTTCTCAAAATTTTGCTGCATATTTTCCGCTCTCTAGTGATGACGTTATCTCAAACTATACGTAGTAAATGGGTTTTAAATTGTATAAAATAACATAGTCCTACACATGTAGTTTAAGAGCTTTTACCCGAAATGTCCCGATTTTTGGGAAAAAAATCAAAATTATAAAACAACATTTTCCAATTTAATTTTGAATATGTGAATGCTTTGACATCTTGCAGATGTTTTAAAACATGGTAAATTTTTCATCAAAACGTATTTGTTTATCCCCCAAAGATTGATGACGTTTCATTTTTTTCCAATTAGTCCTATCGCAAATGTGACGAGTGTATGTATACCTGTGATTTATTCCTGCCTTCATATTTTTAGAACTGCTTACACAGGAAGACCGAAAAAAATAAATGGGTTAATTCATTTTATTGGTTAAATCTGGAACCGCAGAACCAAATGTTTGGAAATTTTGCAGACGTTATAAAGTTATCGTACACTCGGTAAATATTTAATCAAAATACATATGTTTATCTGTTTATGTCCCCCAAAAAATTGATGACATTATGTCAAAATTTTATCTAAAATCTACAAAATATGATGGAACTATACTTGTGACTTACGATCGCTTTCATAATTTTATTTTAGAATTGCTTATACAGAGTGACACAAAAAAATTAATGAATGAGTCAATTTGTTTTATGGGTTATAACAGCAACTGCAAAATCCAATGTTTTGAAATCTCACAGACACTTCAAGGTTATTGCAAGTTTAATAAATTTTCAATATATCTGCCTAATCACCCTACCCCCATTTTCCATTTGATAAAATAAAATAAATAAATGAAATTAATCGCTCTCTAATTTCTCGAAAATGTGAGAAAATGCAGCTGTTTACTTAATAATAGTTAAATAAAAATAATAATAATAATATTCAGAACATTTTGTTCGATCGTGGCTTAATTAATAATTTCAATCCTCTTTTCTGAGGCGATAAACTCATTCAAATCAAACTAGTTTCCACGTGACATTCTTCCGATGTATAAACACAAACAGTTTCAGTCATTGCGGAGAGACAGGCCATTTGTACTTATTGAGCGTAAGGTAAGAAAATATAGTAATTGAGTTCACCAGGCGACTTACCACTTTCATATTTTCTCGGCGTTTCACGACCCCTAGAAAAATGTTTCCCTCGCTTAGTTATAATAACTCAATGTGAATTACAACAATTACAACAATCGACCAATTTTTTAATTGACTAAATTAAGAACTGCAAAATGGAATGCTTTGAAATCTTGCCTACATTTTAAAGTTATTATAATTTGTTTCGGCAGAAATTCCCTCGCATCTAAAGTACAATAAAACATATCCAGCTTTTTCGAAAAATTATAAAATTTGATTTCGCGAATTTATTTTTTTTTAGCTTGCGCTCAAGAAGTAGCAAAAATATTGGGATTTTTTGTTTTCCCGTGCAATGAGTTATTGTTCTAATTAGGAAATAGTAGTAGACAGCATATTGTTAGTACACATAGGGAGTAGGAAACTAATATTAAAAGTAGTAGCGGTACATACATCGAATTGTAATGTAATTAAGTATATGTGCTCAGGAAGTAAAAATACATGTACATTAATTATAACTTAAACAGCTTTTTTTACTATAAATTTATGACTAGTTCGGTGCGTGAACTTATCTGCGTAACTTACGCTGGTTGAAGTATTCTTTATATATTTACTATGAAATTGCAACGTTTTTTATTATTTGCTTATTGATAAATTTATAAAATAGCATAATCTTTTATTTGTATTATTGAATACAAGTTCGCAAAATCAGAATCAGTGGTAAAATTCATGTCTGGAACGAGTTCTTCAAGATGTACTCGACAATTTAGAAATGGAAATTTATTACGATGGTTGCCACTAATATAAATTTAGCGATTATTTAAAAAAAATACAATTACTTGTGCTGTAAAAAAGGCAATAGTTGGGATAAAATACGTGCTATATCCTGTTGAAAACCGTATTAAATTAAATATACCAGAATGAACTGCTTCTGAATCATACCTACATCATTTTTTACATCCCGAGCGTAAGCAAAGGAAATATTGTAATCGAGTCCGTCGGCCGACTCTCTACTTTTACGTTTTCTCGATCTTTCATGACACCTAGAAGACGAAGAAATAGGTCTCCCATTTCCGTCTGTCTGTCCGTCTGTCCGTCTGTCTGCCGTCCCGGATTTTTATTAGACAGATAATCTCCGAAAGTGCTGGACCGATTGTTGTGAAATTTTGTACTTATATTAGGAATATACTCGGTCATAACTCTTCTAAATTATATCAATTCTCTCCATCCGTTAATAATGTTCATAAAAAATTCCAAAATTCAAAATTTGGCCTTGTGTTTTTTTCTTTAAAGTGGCGGGAAGACGTTCTTTCATACAAGTGAGCATACACTGCGTGCGAGTAGAGAACGCGAGAAATAATAGACAAAATTTTTTGGAAGGGGCTAAAATTCGCACCCCCTCTCTAGGAGGAAAGGAGCTGTGAGCATTCAAATTCCAACATAGGTCTTATGTAAGTTTTGTGCAACTTCAAGAACACCATGGGATTAGTTTTAGAAAAAACTTTACTTAGAAGAAACAACATGGAGCTGGCCCTTTTAGTAACATGAACAACCTGATTTGACCACGACAGGTCAGAACTCACTAATACTCCCAGATCTCGAACAGTCAGATTTTGTCAATTCAGTAACATCAATATAGTATGAAACCTTTGGGTTCTTCTTACCAATGTAAAGAACTTCACATTTATCTATGTTAAGTGGAAGCAGCCAATCAGTGGACGATTTGTATACTGCAAGAAGATACTTTTTGAGAAACACAGCATTAGAACTATTGTTGTATAACTTAATGTCGTCTGCATAAGTAGAACCGTATACACTTTGGGTCATTAGCGAGTGACGTCACCCATTAAGCTAATGACATCAATTAATTGCTCATTAAGATCCATTAAACTAATGACATCAATTAATTGCTTATTACGCTAATGACATCAATTAATTGCTCATTAGTGAAAGTGCTCTAATTACTAGCCCTGTCCTAATTACCCGCGCTCTAAGATGGCCGCCAAATGTAATTAATTAATTACTAATCAGTTGGCCTAAAGGTGTTTTGAAAATGGCATTCGTTCGGTACGTAAATTTCTATTTTTTGTATTCCTTAAGTCTTAATGTTTATACGCATAATTTCTTAACAAACTATTACAGAAGGGTCATTTTGGCAGTAACTGTGTGAATCACCTGATTGTGTACACTTTTCTAAAATGTTAATTAAATTGTCATTAAGTGACGTACGGGGATATATATACCGTCCAAACCAATGCATTCGCCAGTTTTAGACTAGTGTTCTTCTGGTATTCCTTGAGTAAGATACCTACATTTCGTGCTCTAAATACCTGTTTACTTTTTCAACAAATTGGTAAGTTAATTTTCTTGTTAAGAGAATAATAATAATTCTAACAATATTTAAATTTACAGAAACAAATGGATACCCCAAAACGGCGCTTTGCGAATATTCGCGTTCCTGATATGAAAAGGAGAAAGAAGGCTGATGAAGAAGAAGAAGCGCTATGTCGCCGACGTCGCCGGTACCTCAAACCCCTGAGTGTGCATTTCCTTTGGTTATAATTGACGACACCCAACGTAGTGCCGACGAAGATAAAGCTGACAGCATCTTCGACGACAATCTAGATGAGGCCATGTCGGCTGCAGTCGATGCGCTCGAGGCGATACAAGAGCGTCGTAGGATCGCAAATGAACGTTATCGTTTAGTTGATGAAATAATGCTTCCGCTAACTAAATCTGGGAGTAAATTTATATCATTCGGTGTGAGACCGTTTAAGAACTTTGAAGCGGCTGTTAAAATCCACAATCCACAATTGACAGCGGCAGTGATCTTCGACGATGAAGAGTATGATGATTTTGTCAAGAAATTGGGTGGAAAGAACTTGAAGAAAATATAGTCATGAAAAATTTTGTAGAGCGTGAAGATGTAACAAAAAAAATTCCGCTTGTAGCACGAGAAAGTTTCTTTGGAGGACGCACTAATGCATCACAACTTTATTATAAGTGTCGCCCTGGTGAAAAAATAAAATATTATGACGTATGCTCGTTGTATCCATACGTAAATAAATATGGAAAATATCCTGTGGGTCATCCGGTGAAACTTTACGTACATCCAAATGACTGCAATCAGATTGACTTGCAAAACTTTGAAGGATTGGTTAAATGTACGGTCCTACCGCCTCAAGACCTGTATCATCCCGTGCTTCCATATAGATGTAACGGTAAATTAACATTTCCGCTGTGTCGATCCTGCGTGGAAACAGAATGTCAACGAGAGTGTTCACATCAAATCAGTGATCGACAGTTTACTGGTACCTATGTTGCTGATGAGCTGCGCAAGGCGATTGAAAAACAGTATAAAGTTGTAAATATTTCTGAGGCCTGGGAATATAAAGTTGTACAATATGACAGAGACTCAAAATCTGGCGGGCTGTTCTCAGAATATGTTAATAATTTTCTCAAAATCAAACAGGAATGCAGTGGTTGGCCGAGCTGGTGCGTTAGTGAACTAGAGAAAGACCGTTACATCGATCTGTATCGAGAACGAGAGGGAATTATTTTAGATAAGCAAAAGATATGCAAGAACGCAGGCCTTAGGTTTGTTTCCAAAATAATGTTGAACTCATTTTGGGGCAAATTTGGCCAACGAGAGAACGCTCAACAAACTCAATTTATTCACGATCCTTGCGAATTATTTAAGATGGTGACAAATCCGTCACTTATCGTAAATAATTTAACCATAGTCAATGATGACGTACTCATGGCTAATTGGGAACGAGTTGAAGAAGACATTGCGTTATTGAAATCTGTGAACGTAGCTATTGCTGCATATACAACAGCTAGCGCACGTTTAGAATTATATAAATACTTAGAGCAGCTAGACAGACGCGTACTGTATTATGACACTGACAGTATCTTTTTTATCAGCGAGTACGATGGACAGCTTGAACCGCCCACCGGTGATTTCCTAGGCGATCTTACAGACGAAATGGCCGAGTACGGGGATGGTTCTTATATTGCGGAATTTGTTAGTGGCGGCCCAAAGAATTACGCATATAAGTTTTGGAAAGCCTCTGAAAACACATATGATACGGTGTGCAAAGTAAAGGGTATTACTTTACATTATGCAAATTCGCAAAAAGTTAATTTTGAAGCATTAAAGACGATGATCTTAGAAAACCCTACCGTTTCTTTACAAATCAGTGACAAAGCTATCATTCGTAATAAAAGGTATGATGTACTTACCAAAAATGCGCATAAAACCTATGGTATGAGTTACACCAAAAGACGTCGCATACAGGGCAGCTTTGACACTCTACCATACGGTTATCGAACCTAATTAGATTAGGTCAGCTGCAATTTCGTTATTTTGATACATTTTAAGATTATTGTAGATATTTGAATTAAATATTAAAATGCATTATTATCTGTGATATGTGATTAATGTAATGTAATATAGAGTTTATTTATTACAGTTCTAAATTTGCTTTAATCATACTGCAGTGTGTTGAAATAAATAAAAAATAGATGTACTTTTTTTTATAGAATTTTTTTATTTTAAAAAATACATATTGAAATATTTCTTACAAATGTTATCATTTCGGTTAGTATCATTTGTAAACATCTTAAAAAAATTATCGACAGCCTTACCTCGTACAAAGTTAAAAAGAAATAATACACAATACATCCCGCACACTTCAGACCAGATGTTTTGTATGTGCATCGTGTTAAAATTCCAATAACGACAATTTCGTCTGAGAAACTTCCCCACATTTTTATTAGGCGGTCTTCCAAAACTGTCAAAAAAATAGCCGAGACTGTTTTCGTCCACATAAATGCCCGTCCAGTGACTGCCACTCATGTAATCTGGATCGTCGTTGACTATAAGAGATGCGGGTCTACTAACGAGAAATGGTAAACGGTTATTTGCAAATACACCCACAAGTGATGACTTTTATGACCTAAAGTACCTGAGCTGATTACCTGAAAGGGTCGGTCGGCAAGGCTCCCTGCTGTGTAAAACTCAGCCATTTATTGAAACGGATCTTTGTAAATAGGGTTGCCTAGTTTCACTTTATTTTCATTATTCAATATTTTTTTAAAAGCAAATATTTTGATAAATATAGAGCTCAATGTCATCTTTGCACTGATGTAAAAGTTGAAGCGAAAAATGCTCTCTCCTCGTCTAAAAATGCAATTTCCTTCGAAGAATGAACGATTAATTAAACACTAAACAATCACTTATTTTAAAAAATATTGTGTCTTCCCCAGAGATTTAGACATAATCTATCAATTGAAATGTCGATCTTTTTTTCAAAGTTAAAATTACGCCCGTAAAATGAAATTCCATTTAGCTCATTTTTCGGTCTGCTACTGGGCACCCTTAAAGTCGACGCCTATGGTGTTACTTGTCAATCTAACACATGTCAATTGTCAACACAATCATAACCTTAAAATGTTGTCACGAACTTTTTGCAAAATTTTAAGACAACCTCGTCTCCCCAAACCCAATACTAATTCCAGATGCATTACCACGACCCACTCCAACCCCGAAGACTCCGACAAAGAAACCCATTTTGGTTTCCAAACGGTGAAAGAAAGTGAAAAGGGGCAAAAAGGTGAGACCCAAAATCACACTTTTCCCACGCTTTAAACTACCTTTCAGTCTACAGTTTGTTCGAAAATGTCGCTTCCAGTTACGACAAGATGAACGACGTCATGTCAATGGGAATCCATCGTGTTTGGAAAGACATACTCATGTGTCGTCTGGGACCTACAGAAAACACGAAGTTGCTGGACATGGCAGGTGGTACTGGAGATGTCGCCTTTCGTTTTGTTAATTACATTAAAAATGACAATATTGAGAAAAGTTGCCATGTAACGGTGTGTGATATTAATGCTGATATGTTGGATGTGGGGAAGTCTCGAAGTAAAGCGCTGGGGCACGATCCAGCGTTGATAAGTTGGCAGCAGGCTGATGCGGAAAATTTACCTTTTAAGGATAATTCTTTTAATGCGTATACTATAGCGTTTGGGATGAGGAACTGTACTCGTATTTATAAAGTGATAAGGGAAGCATATAGGGTTTTAGAACCTGGTGGTAGATTTATGTGTTTGGAGTTCAGCCATGTGGAGAACGACGCATTTCGATGGTTGGTAGTTCTGTTTTAATTAACGTTTGTTTATATTTTGTGTTGTAGGTTGTATGATCAGTACAGTTTTCAAATTATACCGGTTATGGGGCATTTGCTTACTGGGCAATGGCAAGCTTATCAGTACTTGGTGGAAAGCATTAGGCAGTTTCCTGACCAGGTATTCTTAATACTGTTGAAAGTTTTTATTCTTTTGATGATTTTTTTTCTAGGAGACTTTAAAAGAGATGATAGAACAAGAAGGCTTTCGAGAAGTGAGTTATGAAAATTTGAGCTTAGGAATAGTGGCCATACACTCAGGATTTAAGTTATAAGTCCACGACTCAAAATTTTATAATTTTGTACTGTTATTGTTGAATAAATACAAATATGTAAATAATACTGAAAAATTCGCTAGTAAATGTTTGTTTTCATCCTTGCCACTTTATTTCACGATGTGATTACGCAAAATGTCAAATGATTTTGTGATATTCTCCTACTCAATTGATTAAATATATAAAACTTGTTAAATATGTATTTAATCAATGCGTATTAAAATACTGCGATGACGTCATTAACTTTTTGAACACAATACGTTGGTAAATTTTAATTCAGTTATGTAAAATAAAATATTTCTTCACATGTAGTTTATGAATCCCTGTTCAATTTTTACTTTAGACATCGAGATTTTTGCAAAAAAATCAATTGTATAACAACATTTTGCAATTTAAATTTGAAACTGCAAAACATAATGCTCTGAAATCTTGCAAACGTTTCAAAGTTATCACAATCATGGTAAATCCTCAATCAAAATTTATTCGTTTATCATTCCAAAAAATATCATGACTACATATAATCTGTGATTTACAACACATAAATTTTAGAATTACTTATACAGGATGACTATTTTTTCGTTTTTTTTTTAAGTTAATTTTTTCCAATATTTCTTTCAATTTCTTGTTCAATTTTACTATTTTTCATCATTACAATTTTTCGATTTTTCGTTCCCACTTTTTCAAGGCCTTGATTTTTATTTTTCATTTTCCACAGTTTTTAATTTTCATTTTCCCCATTTTTTCATTTTCATTTCATTTATTTTTTCAATGTTTCTTTCGATTATAGAATTTTTTGTTTATTCAATTTTTCAAATTTTCAATCCTTGATTCCTCGGTTTCTCCATTTTTAAAAGTTTCAATTTTGCAAATTTTGAATTTCTCGATTAATTACTTACCAGATATCTTTAATTTTCAATATTTCGGTTTTACAATTCCATTTTTTTGATTTTGCAATTTTTTATTTTCAAGTTTTTCAGTCTTTAATCTTCGATTTTTCAAAGCTTTCGTTTCATAGTTTTTCGTTTTTTCAATTTTACAGTTTTTTTTATTCAAACGTTGAAAAATCGGAAAACTGAAAAAACAAAAATTGAAAATCAAAGCAATGAAGAAACAAAAGACTGAAAACATTGGAAAACTAAAAATCGAGAAACTTAAAAAAAAAAAAACGTAAAATCGAAAAATTATGGAATCATCAAAACTGTGAAATCGAAAAACTGTAACACTGAAAGATGAAAAAATTGAAAAATTAAATATTGAGAAATTGAAAAACTAAAAATCGGATAAATGAAAAAGTTTAAAAATCCAATTCAAAAACGGAAAAATTCTGAAACCGTAAAACGGAAAAAGTGAAATATTTTAGAAGTTATAATTATATTACACATTTAAAATGAAAATTAGAAAAGTTGCAAATCAAAATTGAAAAAACGAAAAACTGAAAAAATTAAAAAATTAAAAATTTCGACTCGGAAAATTGAAAATTTTGAAAAATAAAGAAAATAAAAACCGAAACGAAAAACTGAAGAACTGAAAAACTGAAACATGGAAGAATTAAAAACTCGGTGAAACTGCAAATTAAAAAATTGTAAAAGTTAAAATTAAAATCCAAAAGTTGGAAAATCGAAAAACTGAAAAATTTTAAATTCAAAACTCGATTTGTACATCGTAAAATTGAAGAACAAAAAAAAATTAAAAACAAAAATTTGGAAGTCGAGAAATTGAAAAAACACAAAATTATGAAATGGGAACACACAAAAATGGAAGAATTGCAAAAATAAAGAAAATAAAAAACCGAAACGAAAAATTGCAAATCCAAACTTTGAAGAAATGAAAAATTAAAGAATCGAATGATTGAAAAATTAAAGAAAATAAAAAACATTGGAAAACTAAACACCGAGAAACTTAAAAATCGAAAAAAATGTATGATTCGAAAAATTGGAAAATCGAAAAACTGAAAAATTTTAAAATGAAAAACTGAAAAATTTGGAAGTCGAGGAATTGAAAAAACAAAAAAATTGTAACATGGAAAAATTGTAAAAATAAAGAAAATAAAAAACCGAAACGAAAAATTGAAAATCCAAAATTCGAAGAAATGAAAAACAAAAAAAATAAACATCGGAAAACTAAAAACCGAGAAACTCAAAAATCGAAAAATTGGAAAACGCAAAAATTGAAAAATTTGACAATGAAAAAAATATAGAAAATTAATGAAACGAAAAATTGAAGAACTGTAAAACTGAAAAATAGAAAAATTAAAAACTCGGTGAAACTGCAAAATTAAAAAATTGCAAAATCTAAAATTGACATCCAAAAATTAGAAAATCAAAAAACTGAAAAATTTGGAAGTCGAGAAATTGAAAAAACAAAAAATTGTGAAATGGGAACACTCAAAAATGGAAAAATTGTAAAAATAAAGAAAATAAAACACCAAAACGAAAAATTGCAAAATTTGAAGAGATGAAAAATTAAAAAAAATAAAAAACATTCGAAAACTAAAAACCAACAAACTTAAAAATGGAAAAAAAATTGTGAATCGAAAATTTGGAAAACCCAAAAATTGCAAAATTTCACAATGAAAAAAACAAAATTTATAAAATAAGAACATTGAAAAATCGAAAAATTAAAAAAATAAAGAAAATAAACCGAAACGAAAATTGGAAATCGAAAAAACTGAAGAACTAAAAAACTGAAAAATCGAAAAATTAAAAAACTCAGTGAAACTGGAAATCAAAAAATTGCAAAACCTAAAATTGACATCCAAAAATTGAAAAATTTCACAATGAAAAAAATAAAAATCATAAAATAAGAACATTCAACAACCGAAAAATTGAAAAAATAAAGAAAATAAAAACCGAAACGAAAAATTGTAAATCCAAAATTTGAAGAAATCAAAAATTAAGGAATCAAATGATTCACAAATTAAAGAAAACAAAAAACATTGGAAAATTAAAAACCGAGAAACTTGAAAATCGAAAACAATTTATGAATCGAAAATTTAGAAAACCCAAAAATTAAAAATTTTCACAATGAAAAAAAGAAACATTATAAAATAATAATATTGAAAAATCGAAAAATTAGAAACTCGGTGAAACTGCAAATCAAAAAATTGCTGAAAAATTTTACAATGAAAACTCCAAAAACTGGCATTGTCGTAAAATTAAAAAACCAAACAAAAATTTGGAAGTCGAAAAATTGAAAATTGAAAAAACAATAAATTGTGAAATCGGAACACTGAAAAATCGAAAATTTGTAAAAATAAAGAAAACAAACCGAAACGAAAAATTACAAATCCAAAAATTAAAAAAAATAAAAAACATTGGAAAACTAAAAAAACCGAGAAACTTAAAAAGCGTAAAAAATTAATGAATCAAAAAATTGGAAAATCCAGAAATTATGGGATCGTCAAAACTGTGAAGTCGAAAAACTGTAACATCACTGAAAGACCGAAAATTTGAAAAAAACAAAAAAATTTTAAAATGAAAACTCGAAAACTCGCATTGTCGTAAAATTAAGAAACAAAAAAAAAAAATTAAAAACAAAAATTTGGAAGTCGAAAAATTGAAAAACAAAAAATTGTGAAATGGGAACACTCAAAAATGGAAACATTGTGAAAATGAAGAAAATAAAACACCGAAACGAAAAATTGCAAATCCAAAAGTTGAAGAAATGAACAATTAAAGAATCGCATGATTGAAAAATTAAAAATAAAAAAATTGAAAACTAAAAACCGAGAAACTTAAAAATCGAAAAAAATTAATGAAGTGAAAAATTGGAAAACCCAAGAATTGTAAAATCCAAAAATTATGGAATCGTCAAAAGTGTGAAGTCGAAAAACTGCAAAATTGAAAATTTGAAAAATTAAATATTGACAAAATTGAAAAATTAAAAATCGAAGAAATGAAAAATCAAATAAATGAAAAAGTTAGATATTTATGAAGTTAGGTATAATTATTATTACATATTTAAAATGAAAACTAAAAAATTGCAGAAACGAAAAACTGAAAAATCAAGAAACTGAAAACTGTTAACGTGAAAAATTAAAAAATCTACAAATTTAAAACCGAAGAATAGCAAATCGAAAAATCAAGAAATTTCACATTGAAAAAAGAAATATTTATAAATGAAAACTCGAAGACTTGTATGTCGGAAAATTGAGGAACAAAAAAAAATGTAAATCTGAAAATTTTGGAAATCAAGAAATTGAAATTGAAGAAACGAAAATTGTAAATTTTGAACACTGAAAAATGGAAAAATTGAAAAAATAAAGAAATTAAAAACCGAAACGAAGACAACATTTGAAGAAATGCAAAATTAAAGGAAACAAAAAACCGAAACGAAATATGGCAAGTCAAAAAATTGCAAATTCTAAAAATTGAAAAATTCAAACGATGGAAAATTGAACAACTGAAAAATTTAGATCTTAAAACTCGAAAAATTGAAAAACAAAAAATATGAAAAATTGAAAAATTAAAGTCAAAAAGCTGTGGGAGCTATAGAAATTATCAGAAAACAAAAATCCCATAAAAATATAAATAGTTTAAAAAAAGCAGGATTTCTTCAGGTGCATTTCAGGGCGAGAGAAGTTCTGTCGAAATAACCTTCCACCAGTTTTTTTGAGACATCTGTATAAATAATATTAAAAATTATGAATAAACTCCTGAAATAACGACAACAACTGTTTATTAAATCAGAATAAAAAATGTTCCTTACATAAATGTAATTGTAAAATTTGATACCTGGTATATCCAAAATTTCACAATAATCAGGTTAGTAGTTTCAGAGACTACCTTATCGCAAACGGCCGAAAACGAGCGTCAACATTTTCGTCTTCCACAAATTCTGGAAAGTCCAAAAACATCAAATTCGTGGGTTTTCTTTCTTAATAATATACACCCCTTCATAAATTATTTATTTAGTATACAATAAATCAAGTTTCATAAAAATACATTCACTTCTTCAATAAAAACCTCTTCCCCTTAACGGTTCTATTATTATATAATATCGAGTTTCGAAAATCGTTCTTATAGAACTTGCTACCGTTCGGACTTACATTTACATTATTTCCTTTCGTTTTTTTCTTCTCCGGACTACTTTTTTCACTAATTTTCGAAGGCTTAAAAGTCCGTGTGGCAACTTTCCACTCTTCATTCACTTTACTGTAATCAAACAAACGCATTCCAACCTCGTTTTCTTGCAGAACGGCGTCTTCCAAAGTATGCGCAGGCGCATCAACAGCAACTTTTTCTTGTTTCTTAGTTTTCGATTTGTTCTTCTTTCTTTTTTTTCGGATAGGTTCTTCACTAACTGTACTATTGCAATCCAGTCGTTTTCTTTTTAATTTTTTGCTACCATTAAAATAGTTTTTAAATGGACTAGAAGTCGCAGCTTTTGACGTTTTAGTTGGCGAAATTTTCTCAGTCCAGTCAGTAGACGTTTCCGTTATATTTTTTTGATGGTTTCGTCTTTTACGTTTTTTTCTGCCTTTGGTTGCTACTGATTTTGGACACTCGGTAATAACCGAGTTACAGTTATTTGTTGTGTCTTGGTCCTCTGTAGTTTTTATTTTAGCGGTCAAAATTTTATGAACTTCTAAACCTAAATTTCTGACGTCAACATCCGAAATTTTTATATTCTCCAAAATTACTATCTTCTTATTTGTGTTTTCTTCCTTAGGTGATTCCACTTGATGAGAGGACGCTTCCATAGAATCCGACGAAAGACATTTGTTTTCAGAAATCTCTGTATCTCTTCGCTCGTCTAGACTTTGACCAAGATTCACATGTTCGTTACAACTCTCTGATTTTGTATTACTTAAGTCAGAAATTTGGCCACTATCATCGGTATTTTGTGGACCAGCTTCCGCGTTCGCAACATTTTCATCACTTTCTTCAATTTGTGTCTCACCACAATTTTTATTTTCTTCTAAATCAGAACTTTCACTTCGTTTCTTATCCGTGTTCTCTGCTTCAACCAAGAAATCTACACCCAGATCCTTTGTCTCCAAGCTGTTTGATTCGTTGGTATTTTTATGTTCTTCTAAAGGCGCAATCAGGTTGTCATTTTTCTCAGCACCAGAAAGCTGATTCTTCTCCTCATCACTTGAATCCACAAACCGGATTATCCTCGATTTCTTCCGTTTCTTGACAACTTTCTCCTTCTTCGGTATTTTTACTATTTCGTCATCACTGCCACTACTCAACTGGATGATGCGTCTCCTTTGCCTAGGTTCTTCCACTCTTTCTTGACGTTCTTCTATTGACAGATCATATTCGTCACCTGAGAGAAGTACGTTCTTTTCTTCATCATCATCAATAAACGAATCGTTCTCATATGATTCATCATCACTGATTTCTGATTCTGTTGTGTTGATTTCTTCGCCAACTTCAACAATGTCATTACTTCCTTCTGACGGAGTATCTTCTTCTCCTTCTTCAGCCATTCCGTCAATGAATTGATTCTCCTCAAATTCATCTTCACTTTCAGACGAACTTTCAATGTCCACTAGCAACGCGTCAATCTTACGTTTTATGTCTTTTTTCCTCGCCTCCTCTGATTCACCTCCATTGACATTGTTTCTTTTGACAGGTGTCATACTTTCTTCGTCACCGTTACTAGCGCCACCTATACTGTTTTCACTGTTTTTGCTAGAACCGCAAGCTTCACAGTTAGATATTTTTTCTTTTGTTAATTTTGCGACTATAAAATTTGCTAAAGGACTAAAAGGCTTCTTTTCTTCCATACTGTCGTCACGACAATGCATTGCTTCGAACAGTTTTTGTCTCATCCTACTTAATAACATCGGATCGGTAAACTCCTCTGGTGGTGTATAGCATCCATTTATTTCACTTGTGTTTTCTACAAATTTAAGAACTTCAAGATTTTTCTGGCACGTTGAACACCGTGGAATTGAATTTGTGTCTAAGTTTATTGGTTTATCTTCGGTAAAAGTTTCACTTGCGCCGGTTTTGTCTGTAAAGATGCGACCAATATTAATGTGGGTTTTAAATTTAGAATTTTCTGATTTACCAGCTTCTGAATTTTGTTCCACGGATTCAGACACCGGTGTGTGGTTACAAAGACCCGAATTTGTTACAGTTGATTGTTTCTTAGGTGTAGATGTCAGGGGCATTGGCTCTGTAAAAATATACACTAATAAATACACAAGTTAGGCGGAATTAATTAAAAACTCATCATATTTTGCACATTTTGGGTTGAATTTACTCGGCAAAATTTTGAAATGACGTCATCAATTTTTTGGAGAGGATAAGCAAATATATTAATTAAAAATTTATCGTGATTTAAAACCTCTGGAAGATTTCAAAGCATTCGGTTTTGCATCTGGAGGTTTCGGGTAAAAACTCAACACGGAGTCATAAACTACATGTGTAAGACTATGATATTTTCGATTTTTCAATTTTTCCATTCTTTAGTTTTTCAATTTTTTTATTTTTGTCGACATTTCGATGTTTGATTTTTCAATTTTCGTACTTACCAATTTCTCGATTTTCCTATTTTTCGGTATCGAGTTTTGAGATTTTTCAATCTTTTGATTCTCCAATTTTCCAATTTTTCACACTTTCGATTTCCCGATTTTTTTATTTTCGATTTCTCAATTTTCCGATACTTCAGTTTTATGTTTTAAATTTTTGACTTTTTGAATTTTGATTTACCGATTTTTTAGTTTTTCGATTTTTTAATCTTTTCAATTTCATTTTTTTCTATTCTTCAGACTGGAATTTTCGATTCTGGAAATTCTCGAAGTTTCGAATTTTGATTTTCCGATTTTTCAATTTTTCGATTTTCAGTTTTCAATTTTAATTTTTGATTTCGCGATTTTTCAATCCATCAATTTTTCCAATTTTCGATTTTTCAATTTTTCAATTCTTCAGTTCTAGACCTCAATTTTTTACTCTTCGATTTCTCGATTTTTCGAATTTTGATTTTCCGATTTTTTAGTTTTTCGATTTTCAGTCCTTTCGATTTTAATTTGTTTTACTTTTCGGTTTCTCGATTTCTCATTTCTTCGATTTTTCAATTTTTACTCTTCGATTTCTAGAATTTTCGATTTCTGCAGTTCTCGAATTTTCGATTTTTCAGTTTTTTGATTTTCAATTTTTTTAATTTTTATTTTTTTTTATTTCTTGAGTTTTCGATTTCTAGATTTTCAATTTTTTAATTGTTCGACTTATCAAAGATTTTAAAATTTCTTCGATTTTAATGTATCGAATGGTCGATATTTCGGAATTTATAATTTTCGAAATTTCAATATTTTCAATTTTTCCTTTTGAGGTCTGAAATTTTCGATTTTACAAAATCGAAAATTCTAAAAACTAAAAAAATAGATTTTTCAAAATTTGAATTTTCAATTTCGATATTTCGAATTTTCAATTTTGCAAATTCTCGAATTTTTGAATTTTGGATTTTTCTAAATTCGAATTTTCAGTAATTTTCACCTTTGGATTTTTAAATTTTCGTTTTGAGTTCTGAAGTTTTCGATTTTTCGAAATAGAAAATTCAAAAAATTGAATAAATAGATTTTTCAATATTTGAATTTTCAATTTTACGTTTCGATGTTTCGAACTTTCAATTTTGCGAATTCTCCAATTTTCGATTCTTCAATTTTTCGATTTTTCACATTTTCTATTTCCCGATTTTTCAGTTTTTCGATTTTTCAATTTTTCGACTGCATTCCACGATTTTTCAATTTTAGGAATTATCGAATTTTCGATTTTTGGGATTTTGATCTTTCGATTTTTCAGTTTTTCGATTTTCAATCTTTGTAATTTTTGATTTCTCGAGTTTTCTATTTTTCGATTTCTAGATTTTCAATTTTTTAATTTTCCGACTTTTCAAATTCTTTACAACTTTTTTCGAATTTCAATGTTTCGAATTGTCGACATTTCGGAATTTCCAATATTCGAAATTTCTATTTTTTCAATTTTTCGAAATTCCGATTTTTAGTTCTGAGTTCTCAAATTTCCGAATTTTTTTCGAAAATTGAAAATTCGAAAAATTGAAAAAACAGATTTTTCAATATTTGAATTTTCAATTTTACATTTCGATATTTTGGATTTTCGATTTTCCGAATTCTAGAATTTTCGATTTTTCAGTTTTTTTTGACTTCTCGATTTTAAAATGTTTCGATTTCTCACATTTTCGATTTCCTGATTTTTTTATTCTAAATTTTCCGATACTTCATCAGTTTTGGGGTTTTTCAGTTCTTCGATTTTACAATTTTTGACTGCATTTTTCGATTTTTCAGCTTTTCGATTTCTTTTTTTTTCTCAATTTTTAATTTGATTCTTCAATTGTCGGCGTTTTTAAATTTTCGTTTTTTGAGTTTTCGATTTTTTTTCAATCTTTCCAATTTTAATTTTGTTTACTTTTCGATTTCTCAATTTTTCGCATTTTCGATTTTCAGTCTTTGAATTTTTGTTTTTTTTTTAATTTTTCGACGTTTCAAAGATTTAAAAAAATTTTTGATTTCCAATGTTTCAAATTGTCGAATTTCGAGGGATAGGAATTTCCAATCTTCGAAATTTCAATTCTTTCAATTTTTCGTTTTGAGTTCTGAAATTTTCATTTTTCAAAATCGAAAAGTCGAAAAATTGAAAAAATATATTTTTCAATATTTGCATTTTCAATTTTACTTATTAATTTACTTTTAATATTTTGAATTTTCGATTTTGCGAATTCTCGAATTTTCGAATTTTGGATTTTTCTAAATTCAAATTTTCAGTATTTGCACTTTTCGATTTTTCACATTTTCGATTTCCCGAATTTTTTTATTCTTCGATTTCTCAATTTTTCGATAATTCAGCTTTACCATTTTTCAGTTATTCGGCTGCATTTTTCGATTTTTCATGATTTGAGTTTTGGAATTTTTCAATTTTTGGCGTTTCTAAATTTTCGGTTTTCGATTAATCAATTTTTCAATTTTTCGATTTCTTGTTTTTCTGATTTTTCCGTTTTTCGATTTTTCAATTCTTTGATTTTTGGATTTTCGATTTTTCAACTTTTTCATTCAGTTTTATTTAAACTTCGATATTTTACTTTACGATTTCTGGAATTTTCGATTTTAGGAATATTCGAATTTTCGATTTTTGATTTTCGGATATTTCAGGTTTTCGGTTTGCAATCTTTGTAATTTTTGTTTTGACTTTTCAAGTATTTTAAAATTTCTTCGACTTGTCGATATTTCGGAATTTCCAATTTTCGATTTTTCAATTTTTTCAATTCTTCGAATTTTCGATTTTTCGTTTTGAGTTCTGAAATTTTCAATTTTTAAAAGCGAAAATTCTAAAAATTAAAAAAATAAATTTTTCAATATTTGAATTCTCAATTTTACATTTTTGATATTTCGAATTTTGGATTTTTCTAAATTCGAATTTTCAGAATTTTCAATTCTTCGAATCTTCAGTGTTTCGATTTTTCACATTTCCGATTTCCCGATTTTTTTTATTCTTCGATTTCTCAGTTTTACGATTTTTCAATTTTTCGACTGCATTTTTCCATTTTTCATGATTTTAGTTTTGGAATTTTTTTTTTCAACATTTGGCGTTTCTAAATTTTCAATTTTTTGAGTTCTCGAGTAATCAATTTTTCGACTTTTAGGTTTTTCGATTTTTTGATTTTGCCATTTCTCGATTTCTTTTTTTTTTCAATTTTTCAACTTCTCCGTTTTTTGATTTTTTAACTTTTTAGATTTTTAGACTTTAGAATTTTACAATACGTCGGGTTTTCAATGTTTCAGTTTTCTAATTTTTTCAGTTTCTCGTTTAATCAATTTTTCTTCGATTTTTAGTTTTTCAATTTATCGATTTTTCAATTTTTCAGTTTTTAAATTTTTTGATTTGTATGCATATTTCTATGTTTCGATTGCACGATTTTTCAGTTTTTCGACTGTCTTTTTCCATTTTTCAATTTTTTACTCGTCGATTTCTCTTCTCTAATTTTCGATTGAGAATTCTCGAGTTTTCGATTTCTCGATTTTTAATTTTTCGACTTTTCAAAGATTTTAAATTTTTTTCCATTTTCAATGTTTCGAATTGTCGATATTTCGGAATTTCCAATTTTCGAAATCTCATTTTTTTCAATTTTTCGATTTTTCGTTGAGTTCAGAAATTTCCGATTTTTCAAAACCGAAAATTCGAAAAATTGAAAAAATAGATTTTTCAATATTTGAATTTTCAATTTTACATTTCGAGATTTCAAATTTTCGTTTTTTCCGAATTCTCGAATTTTCACTTTTCGATTATTCAATTTTTTTAATTTTTGGATTTTTTGCCTTCTTGGCATTTCGATTTTTGATTCTTCAATCTTCGTACATACTTTACAATTTCTCGATTCTTTTTTTATTCTTCGACTTCTCAATTTTCCGATATTTCAGTTTTTCGATTTTTCGATTGCACTTTTCGATTTTTCAATTTATCATGATTTTAGTTTTTTATTTTTTTGATTTTGCAATTTTTCAATAGAAATTTACAATTAAAAATATTTAATTTGATTTTTCAATTTTTGGCGTTTCTAAATTTTCGATTTTTTGAGTTCTCGATTAATCAATTTTTCGATTTTTTTATTTTCCCATTTGTAGATTTCTCGTTTTTTCGATTTGTCTGGTGTTTAATTTTTCAACTTTTCCGTTTTTTAATTTTTCGGTATTTTTTGACTTTTCGACTTCTCGATTTTACAATTTTACGATACGTCAGGTTTTCGATGTTTCAGTTTTGTAATTTTTTCAGTTTCTGGATTATTCAATTTTTCAGTTTTAAAATTTTTCGATTTCTCGATTTCTTTCGATGTATCGAGCCCTCGGCTTTTCGAATTTTCGACATTTCTGCTTTTAAATTTTTCGAGTTTACAATTTTTTGAAATTTCGCTTACACTCGCTAACTAAAAATATACTGAGCATTTTCTATTTGTAATTTCCGTTTCAAGACGATCATATTTCTGAAGTATTTAAGATAAAAATGGCCAGATTCTGTTGAATAAAAGAGATATTGTTTATAGTGATAACCTGAGGTCATTTTCTACAATCAGCTTTAGCACTAAATTTGATGTATTTGTTTCTATTTTTGAGATACAACTTTTTTTATAAATTGCCAGATTTCTAGAATTTATTGGAAATTACTATTACTATTTACTGTTCGAAGTACATTTTCATGGAAATCCAGAGAAATAAGAGCTTCTTTTCAGTTTATCCAAATTAGTCAAATGATTACCTTTCTCTACTCTATTTCTTATATTGTTATGGGACTTTTTGCAAAAAAATCACTTATCATTTTTAACCATTTTACAAATAAGTAAAAATTGCAGCAAAGATCACTAACTTCTCTTGCTTAAACTAAGTACTTCTATAACTATTCCTTTGATATGATTAACCAAAATAGCAGACTGTTTATTCTGAACATATTTAAATAACACTTCATTGATTGATATCTTCATTAACAATCAAACAAATGGTGCTTTACATCCATACTAAACCTTCCGATTGTCCTCCTACAATTAAAAATCACTCGTATCTTGCAAGAGCAACTTAATAACTACCACCGTTTTCATAATAAACCAAACCAATTGTCTTCATTTTTGGCAAGATTGTTAGTACTCTTAAAAAAAAACATGTTACAGTTACCTTACTTTTACGTTACTTTGAAGCTGGCCACACTTGTCTTTTACACCACAAAAACAAACTTCAACACTACTTTTGAAACTATTTTAAATTAACGTTAGTGGAAGAAACACGTTTTTTCTTGGACACTTGGAGAAGTGAGGTTATGTTCCCACAACGCACTTTCCTGTCAAGGCTGGTAGACAAAATTACACTCACGCACGTGGGGAAATTTAGAACGGTATTTGTTGTTTTCACTTTTTCATGTCATAAATAAGGGGTTGGTTTTTCGTTTGTTGGTACTAATTATAGTTTATGTGGGCTATTTCACGAACACGATAATAAATTTTGGCGCTCAATCGTAGGTCAATAATTTTAACGTGAGTAGGTATAATGTTCGTAGGCTAATTGTGTGGAAATCTAAATTGGCGGCTATTTTAAATGTAGCAATCAACTAATTTATTATCCGTTCACGACCGTTATATAGTAGGGTTGGCCATGAAAATCTAGTGAGTTTGTTGGTATTCGATGCAGAAGAATAAAAATTCCCTGAACTTTTTTCGTTACGTTATGTTTTATTATAGAAATATAAACACTGTTGCCGATACTTTCAGTTTTCAGTAGCAATGACCAAGTTAACGGTATCCATTTCTTAGAAAGCATAAAACTTTACGCTATTTAAAAATTTGGTGCAAAGTAACAACGTGGATGATCTAACTAAAATTATACTTATTTTGTTGTATGTCAGGTAGTTTTTCACATACTGCCTTGGTAAATTTAGAACGGAAGATGCGTAAAAATATCACCCCCCAACAAGCTACAATTCACTCGATTTCCATTTTTTCGTTATGAAAATCTGTATCATCACCGTCATTTTCAAATTCAGATTCTAAATCAGATTCACCTAGCGAAATAATGAAAGGAGGTATAGATTCGTCCGAAAGATTTCCCATATTTTTTTCCCAATCTGCCAATATATATAGAAGTTTTTCATAATGTTTACAAAGATTTTGCCACATGCTTAGAGTACATTTAGAAAGCGCCTCAAGCCATAAATTCTCCACCCTATTTTTTAATGAAGGTTGAGAATTTATATGCTTGTTGTAATAGTTCTTACAAAATCCCCACGCCATTTCAATTGGATTATATCGACAATGGTACGGAGGGGCTATTTTTAATTTCTTGCGTTCGAGATAGAAGACATATGGTCTACTTTCTAATATTTTAGAATACACACTACTATCCCCATCGGTAACTATTTAGCGTATCGAACACCGTGTACTTCTTCACTTACCCTAAACCCTTCAACGATTATTGCAGATTCCACACTACTAGAGCTTCTACAACTAGCGAAATTTTTAAAACAAATATGCTCTTTTTTTTAATTTTTTTGAGAAGAGCAAATTAAACAATATTTATTCAAAACTCCTTATAAATATAACATTTTTTGATATGGTAATCAATTATAGCTGCTGCCCACGATAATGAGTTGAATTTTCTTCCAAAAGACCGCTTACCCCAAGTTCCGTCGGCTGTAACCGTTAACCTACAACATTATGAACATTTTGTGGTTGAGGATTATCTCTCACATTGAAAGTTGCCGCATTATTGAATTGGGATTCGATGGTTTTGTTCCATATCCACTTTAGCAAACTTAGCCCTCGTTTTTTTTTTTTTTGGTTTTACTGATGATTTTAAGATCTCACCACCTCCTTTATTACTGTAACGACCCATGATGATGCTATCAAAGATTGTTAATTACTTATCACCACTATATAAAAGTTATTGTAGTCACTGTTTTTATAACTAATATTACACCACTATCACTATTGTACAACTATAATCGACTATAAAATCGTCACTGTTTCTATAATCTTATAGCACTATTTTTATGAAATTGATGATACCGCACAAATGCACTAGACTCGTTCGAAATCAGCTACAAATAAAAATTCGATGCTAACTGCAACAACTTTTAAATGAAAATTTGCATTGGTGGGAGAAAATATCTTATTGGCTACATGTAAATGTAAATTTTGGTTCCCCGATAATTACCTGCGGACGCAAATCTTTTAATCTTTAATAAATAGTCCTAAATACTTAGAAGGGGGCGACAAGATAATGCAAATTTAAAATTATGTCTGTAATTGCCTGTTACTTGGCGTTGTGATTTGCAGATTAAATGGTGGACACTCCCATAAAATTTTATTGCCGGATTATAAGGGTTTAAAAGGATGCGCTCTATCGGCTACCTGCTATGGATTTGAGTGGACCAGAAAAATGGCTAAAGTTTGGTTGACCACAAATTTTAAATATTCTGCCCTACTCAATTATTATTTATTAAGATATTTTATTTCTGTAAAGTGCAAGGGATTTTTTAATACAATTTCTACTAACGTACCTTTTTGAAAATTTAAAATTCATCCATAAATAGCGAAAAGCATATAATCTCATACTCACACAATTTTAACGCGTTGTTTTTTTTTGACTACAAAATTTAAAAAACGGAAAAGCAGTCTGGCTAGAGTTTTTTACGCTCATTTCAACGGTGTGAAGTTTATTACAATCGGACGTATACTTTTGGCAAAAACTTGGGCAGAAGTTTATATGTAGAGAGCGGATTTCTAGGTTTAATGCTTTTTGTGAAAAATGTAAGCACTTCAAAACTTTTTTATATCTGTAACTATGATACAGTTTGGATTCATTTGACACATTTTTTTTATGCTAATTTGCTTTTTTTTCAATTTTATGCATATTAAAACTCATATGCCTATTTAATGCTTTTTTCGACGAATATGAGTTTTAATGCATATTTTGTTCAAATGCCGGCCTTTTCAGGATGACAAATACTTGTTAGTTAGCCGTATCGGATCGTATGCATTTTACCCGGACTTGACCATTGAAGTACACTTACTCAAGACCCTTTCTGTGAATAGGTTCCGGTCGTTTTGGTAATAAAATTTTATTATAGGATTGGAAAAATACTCCATAGATTTTATGACTTTAAATCCTTACTTCCGTTGATAATGAATTAAAGCTTTTAACCAGATGTTCTTTTCCGGCATTTTGCGGCAAGACCGTTGAAGATTTTCTAGAAAAAAGGATTATTGTACGCAACTACCTACCTTAAAAGTTTTCTAATGGAAACTTTTAAGTAAATGAACCGTTTATTTCACAACCATCAGTCTATCGCATCTGTCGTAGTACAGTGTTATACGTGGTTCTCCCTTGTTACATGTTGAGTTCTTTTTGGTAATATTACTAATGTTTTAAAAGAATGTCGAAAGTAAAATCGACGCCGGATGAGTGGATAAGGGATTTTCCAGAATTAAAATTAGAAAACAACAAAATATTCTGCAGAGCTTGTGTGAAAACCGCAAGCTCACTAATTTTTTTTATCTATTTTCCTTTGTTAATCCTGTATATGTACGTTGTTTTAGATTCAAAGTGATAAAAAATATAACGTGACGCAACATGTCAGAACGGCTCTTCATGTAGAAAGGAAGAAAATGTTTGAAGCTTCTAAAATTAAACAGCAGACCATACATGAATGTGTTGCATCTACTTCCACAAAAGATGAACAGTTTCAGTTTAATTTCGATTTATGTAAAATGATGATCCAGTCCAATATACCTTTAAAAAAATTGGAGAAAGGCCCTCTTCAAGAATTTCTTACAAAACACTGCAATAGACAATACATATTCCGGTTGAAAGTACTCTCCGAAAAAATTATGTACGCCCAGTGTTTCAGCAAGTTTACAACGAAATTAAACATCGCATTGGAGATAATTATTTATGGTTCGCTGTCGATGAAACAACCGATAGTTGTGGAAGATACGTGGCAAGTTTAATTGTTGGAATCTTAAATGAAAATTTCCCTAGTCGAGGGTATGTAGTAAGTTTGAAAATGTTAGATAAAACAAATGCCAATACGATTACAAGATTTGTAAATGACAGTCTTACGTCACTATTTTTGCCAAATGTCGTACCGGCGAATAAAATTTTATTGATGATCTCGGATGCAGCTCGTTATATGTTGAAAGCAGGGAATAATCTAAAAATATTGTACCCCAATTTAATTCACTCTACTTGCATTGCCCACGGTTTAAACAGAGTGGCTGAAGGAATACGTTTGCAGTTTCCTACTGTTAATAAATTAGTGACAAATGGTAAAAAGATTTTTGTTAAAGCCCCACTAAGAGTGCAACATTTTAAGGAAAAATTTCCAAACATACCATTGCCCCCAGAGCCGATTATGACGAGGTGGGGAACATGGTTACAGGCCACATTTTCTTATTACAAATATATCAAAGAATTTGAGGAAGTAGTTACGGAGTTTAGTGAAAATTCTTCTCAATCGATTAAAGATTGGATAAATATTTTGGAAAACAAAGATTTGCGACAAGATCTAGCTTTTCTAAGAAGCAATTATCAATTCGTATGTGAGGTAATAGAAAAGTTAGAAAAACCCAACATGTTGTTGGTAGATGCCATAAACTTAGTGAAAGAATTTAAACAACAAGCAAACGCAGTAAGGGGTGATACTGGTACTAGAGTATCTCAAAAACTTGACGAAGTGTTAAATAAAAATGCAGGTTTCGGTGTTCTTTCCGACGTTGCTCGTGTTTTACAAGGCCAGAAGGTGGAAAATTTGGAGTTAGATTCAACATTAGTTGCGAAATTCAAATTTGCGCCAACAACGAGTGTGGATGTTGAACGCACATTCTCCAATTTTAAACACATTTTAAATGATCGGCGAAAAATTTTTATAGTGGACAACTTGGAACATATTACAATCATAAATTGTTTTCAAGAAAACTGAAATACGTGTGTAAAATATAAAGTCTAGGATTATTGTAATAGTATTTTGTCCAAAGTTCTAAGAAGTGTTCTTTGATTTGTAATATGATTATGTTTTTAATGCTTTTTTGCTTAAAATAAAACTTTTTTAATGACAATCCAACTCGAAAATTCTTAACCAATACAATGGCAGAATTGTTTGAAATTTGTCCAATGGCATTCACCGAAAAATTTTTTCAGTGAAAAAACATTCTTCTGTCAGGCAACAACACTGTTTTTCAGCGAAATAAATTATGTCAAATTAATTTGTCAAACTTGTCAAATGAACTTTAATAAAAAAAAACGATAATACAAATTACTTTTCTGTTGGCGTTAAAGCCATAATCTTCCAAAATACTGGCCACCTCGTTCATTTCGACTGCTTTATTTAGAGAAAACTTGCGTATTTCACAAAATTCTGTAAACTGCTTCCAAATTGAATCTTGCGTTCTTGCGGTCTTTCGGCACTGACTTTCTTTCACTGC